TCCTGGAACTTCAAACCTTTACGAAGTATCCAAAATAACAGCGACTATGCTGTTGTTGGCCTCGGGTAGACGGGTGCATGATTTAACTCTTCTGAGTGTATCCCCTGATCACTGTATTGTTACTGATACGGAAGTGACATTTTGGCCAAGTTTCGGTTCTAAAACTGATAACGCCAATCACCAACAATCTGGTTGGAAGTTATTAAAAGTAAACAGGGGGGATAATAATTCGCTAAACATAGTTCACTGGATTAAACGCTTGTTAGAATTGTCACACTCCAGAAGGATAACAGCAAAATCGGAAAACTTGTTTATCACTTCAATTAGTGAACCTTAAGCAGCGTCGAAAACAGTGATAGGACGTTGGATTAGAAAATTATTACAAGAAGCCGGTGTAACTGCTAAAGCGGGCAGCATGAGATCAGCTGTAGCTTCGAAGAGTTGGCTAGAAAATTGTCCCTTGGAAGATATCCTGTCAAGAGGGAACTGGAAATCTGAACACACCTTTAAAAAGTTCTACGGACGAGCAGTAAAATGTACTAACAATCCCAATAATAACTCTTCGTTGATTCACTCTCAGTTTATGCCTATAGAATAATTGATTTGCACAATGTACTAGTGATTACCAATAGTAACATAATTAAAGAATAACAATAAATGATTAATTTCCATAGCCCATTATCATTTTATTTATATCCTGATCACATTAGCATCGGTTTACATAACTAGCACCACCAGGCGATTCCAAACAGATCTCTCATGTATTTATTAGGCTTCGGATAACGGTACAGTACTGTTTAATAGAAACGTTTTACCTGAAAATAAAACGGTTATTAAACATACTTACCTTATTCGAAGCCTAATATTTTTAAATTCTGCCTGGTGATATACATTCGAGATGTAATGACGAATAAATTAGGCACACACAAAAGCCTTGCTAATACAAGGGGTGGGAAATGGCGCGAACCGGAAGTGAACGCTGATTGGACGAAGCTAGCCAATCATAGCGGCGTTGTACACGATTTAAGACCGGAAATCAAGTATGCTACTCTCATGTATTTATTAGGCTTCGAATAAGGTAAGTATGTTTAATAACCGTTTTATTTTCAGGTAAAACGTTTCTATTTAAAATAAAAAGTTTATTTTTCTGACAAAACTGTAGTAGAGTCTCTCCTCTCTTGTCTCTTCTTCCATAACCGTATTGGCCCAGAATTCTATCTTCACCTACCATCCGCTGCCCTACCCGAGCATTAAAGTCACCCATAATTATTTTAAGGTTGTCGCATCGATCAAAAGTTGGAGGGTTGTAGTCGTAATCCCCCGCGGTGACAAACCGTATTGGGAGATCGAGAGGGGCCGGAACTAATTGCTATTCTGTGTTCGAGCCAGAGCTATGGTCTTGAAGGTTTTTCTCTGGGCGTGTCTGATTTGGTTTTCTAAAAACAAAATTGTTGATATTATTTGTTCTGTTAATTTTTGTTGCTTGCTTTTTATTTTGTTGGTCAATATTTGTAAAACTTTTTGTTTCTGGTGATTCTGAAAGGTTTCTTTTTTTAGTCTTTAATTTTTGTGAAACACACTACATTCTGCATTAATTTTGGTGAAACACACTCTACACTCTGATTGGCATTATTTATTACAATGAGTTTATCATATTTTATATAAGCTCTATTTCCATTTTTTATTTCTTTCTCAAGTTCTGCTTGTAGCTCTTTACGTTTATTTAGGACTTCCCGTCTTCTTTTATATAATAAGCAAAAATTCAATGCAGTTGCCATCACATTTTATTTCCAATTCATTATTTATAATATATAGTATATTTTTTAATAAGTCATGATAATTTTTTTCTTTTTCTTCAACTCCAAAAATCACCAAATTTTTTCTTCGCATGTATCTTTCATAATTATTTATTGCATTTTTCTGAAGTTCAAGTTCCTGCTCTAAAATTTTATTCTTCATTTCCAAATTAATAAATTTCTCATTTATGTTGTTAATGATAGTATTTTTTATGTCCTCTTTCATATTTAATATTTCGGCTTTTTGTTGTCTCATTTCCTCTTGCATTACTTTGAACATATTTTTTATTTCATCCATATCTTTTTTTTTCCTAAACAGCGTCCTCTAGCAGATGTGTTGTGTTACAAAAAGCCTTTTATTTGTCACTCACAACTCTTAAGCATGCTGTCAAAAGTGCATTGCATCAATTTTGTTCTTAAAGCAGTATGGTTGGAGAAACGTTACGAGTCACTTCCACTAGATGGCGTTGGACACCCGATTCTATGATGAATATGCTATTTTTTTGTTTTAGCTTTTAGGTTATTAAATTTGCAAATATATTTTCCAGCACTGCAACAGTCAAATTACTTATTTCACCAATACGACAAAGTCGAGCACCGCACAATTCACAATCCAGGCAGTCCGAAATCATAATTTGTCACTCATTTTGTTCGTCCGTTGGCTTTATATTATTTAAGCTGTATAACGTTTTAAAAGGTTGTTTTTTCTTGGAAACTATTATTTTCAACACTGAATTACACACACTTTGACACTTTTAAACAATATTTTTCTAAGTTACTGCACTTATTTAATTTTTAATTCGATTTTTATATGGAACTAATGACGGCCGTGGCACAGTAGCCCCCTCTCTTTGTCAAAATCACTGATTAATATACATGCAATAGCCACAAACATACATTGAAAATTGCAGGACAATTTAAAAATTATACTTTTGATTTTGGAATATGAATAATTGTAAAATTTGTAAATATAATGGAACATATTTTGGTACATAAAACTAGTTTTTACGGGTTAATGCACGAAACTTTATTTATTTATTGACGTTTCGCAGCCTTTTCAGGTCTGCATCGTCAGCAACCCGTAACCCGTAGAAACTAGTTTTATTTAATGAGTGATGTGGGTGAAAACCTAAGAAACAAATATATTTTGGTACATTAATAACAATATTGTTATGTGTAGTATATAGATGGTATTAGATAGAATATTGTTATGTTTATGTAGATAAATAATATGCGCAATATATTCTATTAATGCACTGATTGATATGATTTTATTTGATAACCTTAACACTTGAAAAACCTTTTAAATAAGATGACAGTAAAGCCCCAGTAAAACAAAGTATCATTATCTTCGATAATTTTTTAAGAGTGAAAATAAGTAAGACAATAACAAACAAAGTAGATTGAGTATTTAATATAACTATAAGAAGTGAGTGTGGATATCCATTCCTTAATATGAACGATATTATGACAATTTGATAAAAATAGGCTAGTTTGAGCAATATTAAAAGTAAATAATAGTTACAGGTTAGTTTGAGTCACGATGACTGACCACCAAACACACGCGCCAAGTCCTCTTCTGTGCACAGCCGGAAAGCGGGTTTGCCCTGGCCCTGGCGAGCGTAGATCCGGCCCTGCTTTGTCCAGCAATAGCGCCAATTAAGGTTGCGGCATTCCGTGCGAACTTTATTGAAGAGGAAGCGGTTCTGGCGAGTCAGTCGTTCGTTGACGAAGATGCGACTTCCTTCCGACGATTTGAAGTCCCGGCGGATGCGCGCGGCGCGCTGTAGCTCGTCGCGCGTGTGTCGGCGCGCCAGGCGCACCACGATGCGGCGCGCGCGCTCACCCTCCTCGGGGGGAACGCCCACGCGCTCCGCGAACACCACGTCGCGCTCCTCCAGCGTCACGCCCAGGCGGGTGGCCAACGTTAGCACCGTATGCATCGTGTTCTCCCCCTTCTCCTCTGGAATCTGGCCGATGTCAATATCGGCCAGCAAAGCATCCTTGTCTCTATCGTTGAGTTCGATTCTCAACGCCGCGACGGTGCGCTCCAGCTCTGTTACCCGCCCGCTCCCGTCCTCAGGTTCCCGACTCTCAAACTCCTGCAGCTTCTTCTCCATCCCGTCCAATCTCTGATCCATGACGTCCAGCCGCTCGGTCGTGGCGGTGAAAGTCTCCCGCAGCAACGTCAGCTCACTCCGGAACTCCCTCATCTCAGCCATACACTCGGCAAACATCCTGCGAAACTCGAGCATTTCGGCACCATCTGATGAAGGGAGTGCGGCTGCCACCACTCCTGAGCTGCTGCCGGATGCTACAGCTTCCGCTTCCTTAATAGAACTAGGGGATGTGGATTTAGCAAGTGCGGTATCACATATACCTTTTACTGGTGTTTGGCTATTATCGCCCTTCCGTGCACCCAGCTTGCAGGTTGGGCAAACCCAGTCTTTTGATATCTGAGCCTTATCCGACATGGCCAAGCAAGCTTTGTGGTATTTCAAAGGACATAAGCTACACGTAGCGACACCTATCGTCGTCGTCGGCAGAAACTTTCCACACCCAGTACACTTATTCATGTCTAATGGTTCTAATGTATGCTAATCCGAGCAATTTGTTTAAGCAGTTATACGATGTTGTGTTGATTCACACCTCTACCGCCAGATGACGCTATTCTTTGTGCAATAAAAGCTATTCTATCGCCCGTCGTTTATTCAATCTTTATTCACCCTCCACTCCAAAAAAAAATATTCCCGAAATCCAGAAAAATGCAAGATTAAAGCAATACGGGACCTGGAATGGCCGACTATTTGACACCACACTTGTCCGATCCACCAGCACTTCGGAACAAAAACAAATGAGAAAACAATGACTGTCAAAATATTTTCTATAGATATTATGAAAATTTATTGTTGTACTAAAGTATTATTGTCACCAACACTGTCACTCAATTATTACACTTAGAAAATGATTTTTATACCACTTTAAATGTATTACTTTTGGTTTAACAATTTTTAAATAAAATGTTTATTTGGAGATAATGTTTACTTGATAACGCCCTCTAGCGGCTTCCTACAACAGTTATATTTTTTTTATCCGCTAGATTTTTAAACCTAAAGAAAATTTATAATTTAGAATCACTTGTTAAAATAATAACTTTAACAAGTGATTCTAAATGTCAAAGTATTATGACCTTCTAGAACCTACCTCTTCCCGCTAGCGTCAGGTCCAAGCAATAGCAGATTAGTCCCGGCCGCAATACAAGCTCGTAGTGCGGGTTCGCACGTCGCCAGACGATTGGACAAGAACAGACTGTCCGATACCCACTCGCCGCTTGATATTATTGCAGTAGGTGGGGGTCCTAATGTCCCTGAAAACTGGAAAACCGTACGATTGTACCTTCTTTAACATTAAATCCGAAGAACGCAGGAGTAAGGATTCGTTACCGCTTTTGTGAAACTCTCGTTTTGACTTTTGTATTTTCAACTTTACGTCTAACGCTCAACGTTTAAAATTGAGATTAAACCCATAAAAAACACTACCAACTTGCAAGCGCATATAAGAAAGTTATGAGATCTATTAGAAACCCTGGAATAAAGTCTGAATTCATTAAATTACTGGTCCTATTTTGGCCAAAATTCGTTCTTTTATCAAAGAGTCAAATTCGACAATAGTAAATACTGTATCACGTTTTTTTTATATTTCCAACACACACCAATTAGCCTAGCCCCAAAGTAAGCACTATAAGGCTTGTGTTATGGGATGCTAGGGTAACGGATAGAATACATATATAAGTATATTTATATAGAAATACATATTAAACATCCATGTGTACGGTCTCATCACCGCACATACTGAGCTGACATAGCGACCTACTTAAGGTCGCGCGTCATAATCAGTGGCGGCGCTAGATCACATGTGGACGTCGGCAACATCAAGTTTGCGAGGCCTATTTTAATACGCAGTAAAAAACCGTTAAATTAAGTGAGCTAAATTATAAAATAGCGTATGAGTAAACGATTTTTATTGTCGATAATCAAATGATGACAAAAAATAATTACAAACATAGGTTCATTACAAAAATAGTGTCGTCAGACAGACGATTCTGAATACCCGTTAAGTTCTACTCGCTTCCATCACGCACGTGTTCGAAAATAATAAAAGTCATTCTCATCTGCTTAGCTTTTTCCCCGAATTGTTCGGGGTCGGCTACCTAAGCCAGGCCAGGAGAAACGAAAATAAATAGGTAACTTGTAAAAATTTTTTGCGAGGCGCGAGGCCGCCGGCGGTGGCCGACGTCGCCGACGCCTAGCACCGCCACTGGTCATAATAGTTAATTTTATTGATATTATAAATTAATTACTCGAGTACGTTAAGAGCGCGCATTCGAAACAGTCAAGCAAATAATCACCTACTAACATTTTTATCTGTATTTACATTCGGCTACAATAAATTTGCATATCTAACTTAGGTGACTTCTTTACCTGCGTACTACAAACAACTATCATCTATCAACATCTAAAAGGTGTACGTGGTCACACTGGCTCGTACACCATGACTGGAGTACAAATGCTCGTATTCATCACACAAACATCTGCCCCCACCAAGATTCGAACCCGGGACCTCTCGAGTCGGCGACACCATGAAACACTAAATGTTTTATTGTTTTTTTTTTAAGCTAAGAAAAAGTATCACACGGTCCAGGCAGCAGATGATATTCGAACTTGCACCTTCCGTTATCCAGGCGGAGCTCTAGCCAATTATGCTTCGGCTTATGGACGCTGTTATTTAATGACCGTGTCGAATTTCTTCTACTATTTCTTACAATACATTGTGGGTTACCTACAATGCGAAGAGATGGCGCTGCCTTGCAGCCTAAGAAATGTCTTCTAGTTATTTTTTTAAGCATTTAACTGCTTGATGTTTAAATCTAAAGAAAAGTTTACTAGAAAAAAATCCACGCGGCACAGGCACCAGACGGGACTCGAACTTTTTCTAGTACTTTTCTTTAGATTTAAATATCTAGCAGTTAATGCTTAAAAATAAAAACATAACTATAATTGCTATTTCTTCTTTCAAATGTTTAATACTTGTAAAAGTATTCATTTGACATTGTGAGTTACCTACAATGCGAAGAGATGGGCGCTGTCTTGCAGCCTAAGGCTAGGAAAAATTCAACACGGCCGTCAAGGCCGCGGTAGCATAATGGTGCAGTGCATTCGCCCGGATAGCGAGGGGTGTGGGTTCGAGTCCCGTCTGCTGCCTGGTCCGCGTGGATTTTTTTCTAGTAAACTTATCTTAGAGGAGCTCGATGGCGCAAGTGGTTAGCGCGTTCCGCTGCGATCTTTGAATTTAAGCAACTTTCGCAGTGGTCGGTCATTGGATGGGTGACCGAAAATATACTATTTCGAGCTCCTCGGTGCTTCGGAAGGCATGTTAAGCCGTTGGTCCCGGCTGCATCTGCAGTCGTTAGCACCCACAAACCGGCCCAGACCCCCGCGTGGTGGGTCATGGCCCAATCTCCCTATTTCATCCATAGGAAAGGCCTGTGCCCCAGCAGTGCGGACATTGATAGGCTGATATAATAATAATAATAATCTATTTATTTCTCTCAAGAATGGTTACAAAGTCTTATATTATAAAATACAAAGTATAATTAGCAAATAATTTTAACCTTTCCCGAGACTGGTGTCTGCACTAGGTTGTGAAACCTGTCATACAGATCACCAGGCTCCCACTGCGCCGGAATTATAAATAAATTTCACGAGAGAATAAACGATATGATATATCATATACTTAAATTAATGACTAATTTAACGCTAATAATATTCAAGTTGTGTGTATCTACGCGGGTGTTTGAGTGTGTGTATGTTTGTGCGTGGATGTCTGTTAATGTGTGTTTGTGCGTGTTCGTGTGTGTGTGTGTGTGTGTGTGTGTGTGTGTGTGTGTGTGTGTGTGTGTGTGTGTGTGTTTGTAAGCTTGCATGTGGTGAGTGCGTGTATGTAATGCACATACATTTGCCATACAAAAACCATTAAAACGAAAAATCAAATCCAAATTTTTTTAAAATAAAATGCATTAGAAGATTCAAGATGGAACAGTCAGAAGGTTTTCAGTTTCTATGTACGTTAAGCCCAGAAGCCATTCACTCAAAACCCCTTTAATTTCATATCTCATACCTTGCTGATGAAGATGATGAAGAAACTTATCTTACAGTTATTCCGATAATGCGGTATGCTTACAAACCTCTTCACGGAAACTATCGACGGAGTTCTCCCGCAGTATTCCCAGGACGCTCCTCTCGATTGCCAAATACACCATTTCCTCGGGAGTGGTAACTGATAAACTGTGTGATGTATTCTGGACAGCGTATTCAAATTGAGTAAGAATTTGTTTTACCTGCAAAAATATTGTGAATGATGATCAAGCATTCTAAAAACTTCTATATCTATGTCATTAAAAATATATGGTTTGTAATATTTAATTTCGAGGAGCTTGATAGTTCAGTGGCTAGCGCGTTCATTTTGAGATTATGGAAGTTAAGCTTCTTGAGCAATAGCCGGTTCTGGGATGGGTTATCAAAATTGTATAATTAAAGTTAAACCATTGAGCCTGGCAGTGTCTGCAGTCGCCAACACCCACTCACTATCCGGTATTAGGTCCGTGCAGTTGGTCAAGCCCCGATCTACCTATTCCATCTATTAGGAAGGCCTATCCATAGTAGAAGGTTGGGGGCATTAATGGGCTGATGATGATGATTATTTAATTCTATTTCATTATTTTATTGGATATATCAAATACAAGGATTAGGAATTTTCCCTTTTAAGGAGTGAGATCTTTTCTATCGTTTCATCTTTCTTTTCTTTTCTTACCATAGCTACATCATATACTTTATAGAAGACGTTAGATCGGTTGGTGTGGAACCATCTGAGGCACGTATTCATGGCTTGGTGGAGTAGAGGTGCGGCTGCTTTTGCAGATTCGTTTTCGAAATCTAGCTTTCGTGACCATTTCTCCATCACTTCTTCGGCGCAGCTGCTTTCATCGCTGTAAATTTATTGTATGATACGTTTTTATTTATTTATTATCTATAATATAAAAATGAATCGCTGAATGTGTTCTAAGCGCAAATCTTGAGAACAGCTAAACCGATATCGATAATTATTTTTTTAGAATATTCCTTGAAGTACGAGGATGGTTCCTACGCAGAGAAAAAAAAGCCTGAAAATGTCCAAAAACAACACTTTTCTATACTCCCATACAAACGATTCGTAATAATACTTAAAAGTCAATTTGAACTTTAATACCATACCATAAATTTCAAATGTTAGTGGAGAGGTTCCGGGAAGGCACAACAATTGAGCGGCGTCATGTCAATAGAAGTTTGGAAAAGGCAAATATACCGTTTTCAGTTTTTTTATAATTACTTATATGAAGAGTCATTTAAATCTACACTACAGCTCTACACCGAAGCGAAGTGAGGGCGGGCCATTAATTATTAATAATAAAGTAACAGTTTTACATTTTTTATTAGTGTAACAGAAACCAGAAAGGTTTATTTGTACATTACTTAGCCAGTAAACATTATATTATCGTGATGTTTGTTATGTGATGGTTTCTTTTAAATAATCTTTGAACTTGGCTATTACAATAAATATGTCATAAGTCGATCAGATAGAAATAAAATTCCATTTAGCTTCATAAATTTTCAGTTATCTAGAATAAAAAATGTGGAAATAACTTAAAAGTACAATTATCATGTAAGGGACCGTAATGTTTGGTCTGTTAAGATGCATTTACTCTCATTTTTTAATAATGTAATAAGGTGGCAAAAAAGCTGAATTACTCATCGCGGTGCAATTAGTTATCCAAAACGAATTAGAAATGATAATGGAATACAAATTGCGCTAAAAAGAGGTTCCGCGCAAACTTAGATCAAGTGGGCGGAACAAAAAAATCGATCAAGACGCCGATCATGAGTTGGTTGAAATTTTCGTTTGACATTATCTTACCCAATTAATGGATAAACGGATTCATTTGTAGATATTTGATTTCTCGAATTATTTTGTTATGACTGTGTGCGTATCGAGTTAGTATTGAAGTTAAGTTGTGTATATATATTTTTTATTTTTAAGCATATAGGTAACTGCTTGATGTTTAAATCTAAAGAAAATATAACTAGAAAAAAATCCACTCGGACCAGGCAGCAGACGGGACTCGAACCCGCACCCTTCGCAATCCGGGCGAATGCACTGACCAATTATGCTACCACGGCCCTGATGGTCGTGTCGAAATTCCTCTAGCCATTCTTAAGCTGCAAGGCAGCGCCATCTCTTCGCATTATTGGTAACCCACAATGTAGAATGAATAGTTTTACAAGTAAGGTAAGTGCGCCTAAAAAGGGCCGGTTCCAAATAAGGTCCATCTTTTCAAACTTCCCGCACTTAATATTTAAACCAAAACTGATTTTGCACAGCGCCTCCCCAGTAACCAATCATAAAAGCGCACTGACGTTCATTTGCCTGCCTCCGCGCCGGCCATTTTGGCAGTGGCTCTGTGTGTAACCTCAGGTGCAGTCGACGTGACTAAACGAATAAAATATTCTGATCCAATTTTGCTTTGTTTCAATAATAAAACTCGGTGTTATGTAATAATTTTGCAATAGTAATGTTAAAATACTTTCAGAACGTGGATTGACGGGATAAGTTACTAAAATTATTGCTTATTTATCTAAATTTTGTTTCATTTTCTCAGGACACATGTGATTGCCTAAGAAGGTCCAAGTTGTTGTCTACAAATAAGGGCCGGCCCTTATTGGTTTACGATATTTTAAAATAGGCATGATCAGTTGGCATAAATGACTTACGTGAGTGTAAATAAGCAGCCTGGCCTAGCAAGTGGCATTTATATACGTTTATTTTGATTACTGAATAGAAAATATATTTAATAAGGATAAGTATATACACACTGAACCTTTAAGTTCAGTGGTTACCGTGTTACCTGTTAGAAACACTTAATAAGGTCCACACTATGATTAAATAAGTGTTATACCTAATAAGGTCCCAAGATTAAGACTGAAAAATTAACTCATTAGTAACTTTTAGTGATTGTCTTTCGTAAAATTAATAAAAATTTGCACAAACCTTCAATTTGTTTCATTTATAGCTAGAAAATATATAAGTTACAACTTATATATATTTCGTATGACTTTATAAGGGTCACAATACTAAATTATATGAATTACCGTTTAAATATTGGAAAGCCATGAAGTTGAAAGTAGTTTAAAGCCGTTGCTATCTAAAGATTTATTTTTTCTGATACTCAACGTCTGAAATCTTGCAGTTCAATCATGGACCTTAATTCGAGCCCTAGTACACAATAAGGACCATAAACAAACTTTTAAAAAACTTTTTTTGTAAATAAATGGTCATTCGTGTGTTGTTTTTGTGCAACGTTTTCTTTTCAAATAAAAACAGTTTGGTTGATCATGACGTCGTACTAATTATCACACTTCCAAACATTGATTTATTTCGATTTCCAAAAACCCGGCCCTTATTAGACGCAATTACCTTATTAAACATTTGAAATAATAGAAGGCAATTATAGTTATAATTTTTATTTTTAAGCATGTAACTGCTTGATGTTTAAATCTAAAGAAAATATAACTAGAAAAATTGCGAAGGGTGTGGGGAGTCCCGTCCGATGCCTGGTCCGTGTAGATTTTTTTCTAGTTCTATTTTCTTAAGTTGTATATGTTTGGAAATCATGTTTTAGCGGCCTCTGTTAGAGTGTAATGCTTCCATATCATTTCTAACTTACCTATACGAACAAAGAAATTTGGTGACTTATTTGTTTGTCGTACTATTCGTAAGTGGAATTCTTTTCCCGCGCACGTGTTCCCTCCTTTCTATAATCTGGGGTCCTTTAAGAGAGGCGAAGAAGCATTTTTGCAGGCCGGTAAGGTGAGGATGGTTGCTGTAGGAGTTTATAACTACTGTACCAGCTATCTTCGCGTTTGGACTTTATCACCACTTAACATCAGGTGGGGCAGTCATTTGCCTACCTCGCTATAAAAAAAAACTGACTCACCCCATTAAAATGATTCCCATTCGCGAAACAGTAGCGGGTGAAGCGTATTCCAGACTGTGAGTCTCGAACACAAAGTTGACGTTATCTCCGAACTGTATACGCCACCCGGACGGTAGAGTCAATAGTCTGTTGTCGTCCAGTACTGAGTTCAACGCCTCTATCCATTCGGGATCTATGTCGCCGTCGCACACTACCCATGACCATATGTCTGTTATGTCATGAAAAGAATATAATGTTTTTTTTACGTTGCCTGGCACACAAATAATTTGTAGAGAAACTAGTCAGGATTGATTTAAGACATAAATGATGCCTGGATGTACAGTAGAACTCAATTAATAAAAGGAAAATCGGTCGGATTTATTTTTGATTTTCCTGCCATGAAAAACAATATGGAGAGCTACACAGACCAGGTGTTAAATAATGATTAAAACCATGGTCTATCAATATTGTATGGTACCTTGTGGTTGGTTGGCGATTTCCAAAGCCGTGGCGGATATGACGCCATCGGTCCACTGCCTAGTGTCGTGGTCAATATGGCCCAGTAAACTGCTCCGACTCATCGCTTTAGGGCATATAACATACTCAACTATGCTCTTCCCCTGATTTATTAGTGCCTAAAAGCAATTTAAACACTATAACACGTGTGTTAATAATAATGTTTTGACGTGAATGAAAGTAGTTTCAGAATATTCTTCTGTCCCAAAGTTCCTGAATAAATATAAATGAAAAATAGACCCCCGTCTATAGATTCGAAATCATTCTCCTTTATTAAGTATGAGCACAAGTAGAAGTACCCGAGTTACTTTAAAAAGCTCTGTTTTACTAAATAGTTAGTGCGAGTTGTCCGGAGTATTAATAAAGTACTCGTAGTTATAAAAGTGCCCCGCCCTGGCATCGCTTCGTGTAGACCTCAGTTTTTGGTCTCGGGGTTGTTGGACACATATTATTATTATTTTAAATTTTTGGGGCTATGCAGTCCTAATGGGACTGTGGTCACTGCGACCTATAAGATCTATTGTGACTCGCCACCAAGTTAAATTATCTCTTTTAGTCCGACAGCTTCCAAGAGCTCGAGAAGTTTCTAGCTTTTAGAGATATGATTTCTTCTGGGCGTAATACATGTCGTCCCAAATGTATACTTCGTTTGTGGATTAGAGGCCCACATTCACATAAAAGGTGTTTTGGTGTTTCACGCTCCTGATTGCAGTATCTGCAAACATAAGGGACACACAATTTCATATTAAATTGGTTTCTGTTGAGTTTGCAGTTATGGCTCTTACGATAGCACGGGTGTTGGGCCTGCTAAGTTCAATTAACTCAACAGTCCATTTTTTCGAGTAACCTTCTATTAGTGATTTAGTGTGCTCTAATCCTGGTTGGTTTAACGAGTATTTTTTCGATTCGCTTAGAAGGTTGTCCTTAATAATTTGATTCATGATTTCCTGGTCCCATCTGTTGCCCCTGTGCCCCTGCTCTTACTAATTCATCAGCTTTTTCGTTGCCGATTATCCCTGAATTACCTGGTACTCATTTAAGAATAACTTTATTCTTTTGACCTAGGTTATTCAGTTTAACAATGCAGTCTTTCACCAATTTCGAGCATATCGTGTTCGAGTTAATGGCGTTAAGTGCTGCTTGGCTATCTGAAAAGATATATATGGCCTGGTTTGTGTAGTTTCGTAGACGATTGGCTTCTGCATATGTTGATGATGGCATATACCTGCATATAGTAGCGTATTTTCCGAGATTCACGCTTTTGTTGAATATCGGCCTTATATTCCACATCCTACATTTTGGAGCCATCTTTAAACCAGATTATACTTCCAGCCTTACAAGATTCATAGTCGTTTGACCACGTTTCTCTGCTTGGCAACTGCCAATTCAACCTTGTAATTTCTGGCAAAATTACTCAGTTGAAGCATGAAATCTGTAGTCATTGCTAGTGGTGTAGTTCAAGCGCTGTTTGGTGGAGAGACCTCAGTGCTTGTGAGTGCCAGTTCGTCCTGCCAGTAGGCTAACATATAACCATATGTAATTTTTTTAAACATAGTAAAAATCGCCTTTTAATCCTTAGGTATTTTCAGAGGAGTAAAGGCAATAATTCCTCTAATTATTTTGCAATGTTTAAATTTTGTATGAAAAGTTAACTCATATACATGAGCTACCTTTTCATAATAGCCAGCCACGGTGATTTTTATTCTATTACTAAAATAAATTGCTTACTTACATTTTTAAGAAGGTGTCGAATAGTAGTCTTCCCAGATCCAGGCGGACCAACTATGACCACTCCCATTCTTTGCTGCATTTGTTCGTAAAGTTCCATGCATTTTTGTATCTAAAATTGTTATTTTTCAATAATAAAAGCTATTATGTGTATATCATATTCGACTTCAATCTGAAGTTATACAAATAAATTGTTTTCTTCTGCTCATCTGCAGGAAAGTAGGTTTTCCAAATAAAGTGTTCCCTTCTTTTCGATAGTTATTAAAATGTATGCACATCAAATTATTTAAAATATATATAATTTCGTATATCATTAACGTTCGTACCTGAGATTGATTACTAACTAGTCCAAGAGTTATAAACGCTGCAGCCAGTGCGTCGTTGATGGGATCAATATTTTGTTCCTCTTTAGGGACATCAGCAAAAACTAAAGACAATATGTTTTCAAATCTGCAAGTGAAAAATTTAAAGGTATATTAGCTGTTTCTAAATACTCTTTATTTTCTATATATACAGCTTATACCTTATTATATGTCGTATATTTTTTTCCCGTATTAATTACGTCAGTTTTTGATGCTTTTACTGGCCGAAATACGATCTCTTTAATTGTTCAATGAGTATAATTTTTAATAATTTTGTTCGATCAAAGAGTAATTGTGTGTGCAGAAAGTGATAATAATACAAAATTATTAGCTTTCTACTCTCCTTCTCAAAAACGTTTATTATGTATATGATAAATCTGGTAGATATACACTCCGCTTTGAGAAAAAGAAGTTTTACCTCCTTTTTGATGTACTTATGAAAGACGTTTTTCCTTCACGTATTAATATGATAATGACGAAGTTCAATCCAATTTAAATAAATTATTCTTAAATTAAAATAATATTTTTTATTAATTATAAATATCATGTTCAGCGTCAAATGGGATGCAAGTTTATGTAATACTAGCGGCCGCCCGCGACTTTGTACGCGTAGAGTTAGTTATAAATAAAGGTAGGGTTACTATTTAAAATTTTGGAAAGTCCTGACAAAAAGCTGGACATTTCGATAAAAGTCCGGACATTTTAGTCACAAAATGCTAATATCACCCACTTAGTTACATTTTATATTAAACGCCTGGTAGCAGACGCTCGGATCGCGAGAGGGGGTCCCGTTATTGATTTTTAAAGATGATATATAGTTTGTTTTAAATTAATGAGAATTTAATAAAGATTATTTTACTTATTTGATATAACTTAATAAGTAGTTTTACTAATATTCCATCTAATTAAAATGCTGGACAAAACGCGGAAAGTCCGGACATGTCCGGACGAATGGTAACCCTACTCGTAAGTGATAGCGTGATAATATGTAGCCTAAATGTTGACCTGACTTCTTAATAATATTCTTGCCAAATTTGAAGTAAATCCATGCAGTACTTTTTGAGTTTATCCCGGACATACATACATACAGACGAACAGACAAAAAATCTAAAAACTATGTTTTTGGCTGCGGTATCGATTGTAGATCACACCCCAAGTATTCTTTTAAAAAATATTCAAAATGTACAGTTTTGACTTTCCTACCATTTTATTATATGTATAGATGATAATTTCCAATAACAACATGTGAGTTGCAATTGGTGCTTTATCCATATAAGTACCATAAATAAATAAATAACCATACCTCTCAGCGTCGTCTTGCGTGAGTTTGGACATATTGTTTAAAGTGAGCACACGTCTGACCAATTGCCGTTGTTGTTGAAGATCTAAATTCTTGTTCGCGCACAAAGCGGCGCCACAGCTGCCCACCGATGCCTTTAACGCGCGCAAACCCCAGTCGTAGTGACGTTGACTACTTAACAATTGACTGTAATAAAATTTAATAAAAATAAACACTTTGTTGCAAAAGGACAAAGATACCACGGACACATGTAACAATAATGTGGGGAAAGGCAGTCTTATCGCTAAAAGCGATCTCTTCCAGACAAAATTATTATTAAAAAAAAAATATTATACTCTACATGGATGATTCTCAGTTATGAGGTAATTGGTTGTATGGAAGCAGTGGCATAGCAAAAAGTGTCGATATTTATATAACTATACCACTACTTTTATCAAGACAGATGATTTTAAGGTGATCAGTCATTTTTTCAATTTATTCTCGTTTTACGAGACACCAGGGAAGATACTGAGTACAGGGTAGAGACAAGATGAACTTTATTGCAATGCGCTTAGAGCGCATATTAAGATGTAAAGTACTTCGCCGTGCAATCAGATTTTAGTGGAATAACAATATAAAGCTAAACAATTATCTAAAATTATATGCAATTGTACATTCTCTAATTAATAATCATTACTGTTATTGAGCTATTGCATCGTTTTTATAGTTTTGTTAGTAGCCTGGCACCATAACAGCCAGAGGAATTATGGCAGGGGAGAGACATTTCCGTTAAAAATCTAGAATTGCCGTAAAACTACTAATTTTACAAATAAATAAAAGGTTTGCAGCACTATTTAAAATAAATGTATATAGATATTGTAATATTTAAACACATAAATACGAAAAAAAATTACCAGGGTAAATACTTCGATCACTCAACACGGCTGCACACTTCGAACACCGTTGCGCAAATGGCCAAAAAAATTGCCGCGCGATGGCTTGTACAGCGCTTGCTGCTAACTTCACGTGACACTCGGTGTCTTCAAGGTCAAAACTACCACAGACTATGGTAAACAAATACGATTTTCAAACTAAACCTAAGGCCAGGGGGCGAGACACGAAACTCGGAGGACAGTTTGCGATTAATATTTTTTATAAAAAGTGCAAATATAAATGAATTTAATGGTTACATACTGTAACTAAGTTATCAGGGTTCATGTTATTACCGATAGAAAAGTAATAATTAAATTGCAATGGACTCAAAATTACTGATTTACAAAAAAAAAACGGTTAGGGGACAACCCAGGGGAGAGATGTTTTTCCTCTTTGTGCTGTTATTGTAAGTAAATTATGCACATTTAGAATATAATTTTAAGTGACAATTTTGAACACATTTAGTTAATTGAAATTATTAAGATTTTAGACCATAATTTCCAAATATAATGATTTTTTTGGCTTAGCCGTCGAACATACCTCTTAACTGAGAATCACCCACATACTAACAACATATCGACAGTGGAAAATCAAAATTGCTAACACGCCACTTTGGTGCTGCTTAGAAATTAACTGAATAACAGTATTTATTTAAGGTTAATTTTTAAGCAGCACCAAAGTGGCGTGTTAGCAATTTTGATTTTCCACTGTCGATATGTAATGCTAAAGAAGATTAAGATCGCAGCAGAAAGAAATTACGTAATCTTCTTTTAAAAACCCTTAAATTAGCGACTGTCGTGCGCCGGTGTGTTTGATGGTTTATTAAATATTTTAATGTCTTAACATTTAACAAAAAAAAAGATTTCAATTTTTTAGGTGGCCCTGTCCCTCACTACTTCTGGACTTTGAACGTGTGAACACGGCACACAGGTCGGCGGCCAGTCGGTCCGCGTGCGAAATGGCCCGCGCCCCCCGCAGCCTGCACACCAGCTGTGAGCCCCGCGGCTGCGCCATCGCCACGGGGCGCAGCACCCGCTCCAGCGCCGTCATACATATCTGGCGAGTGTGAACACGGCACACAGGTCGGCGGACAGGCGGTCCGCGTGTTTTATGACCCGAGCGCCCCAACAGCCTGCACACCAGCTGTGAGCCCCGCTGCTGCGCCATCGCCACGGGGCGCAGCACCCGCTCCAGCGCCGTCATATTTACCTGGCAAGTGTGAACACGGCACACAGGTCGGCGGCCAGGCGGTCCGCGTGCGATATGGCCCGCGCCTCCAGCAGCCTGCACACCAGCTGTGAGCCCCGCGGCTGCGCCATCGCCACGGGGCGCAGCACCCGCTCCAGCGCCATCGCCGCGGGGCGCAGCACCCGCTCCAGCGCCGTTATACATACCTGGCGAGTGTGAACACGGCACACAGGTCGGCGGCCAGTCGGTCCGCGTGCGAAATGGCCCGCGCCCCCCGCAGCCTGCACACCAGCTGTGAGCCCCGCGGCTGCGCCATCGCCACGGGGCGCAGCACCCGCTCCAGCGCCGTCATACGTACCTGGCGAGTGTGAACACGACACACAGGTCGGCGGCCAGGCGGTCCGCGTGCGATATGGCCCGCGCCCCCAGCAGCCTGCACACTAGCTGTGAGCCCCGCGGCTGCGCCATCGCCACGGGGCGCAGCACCCGCTCCAGCGCCGTCATACATACCTGGCGAGTGTGAACACGGCACACAGGTCGGCGGCCAGGCGGTCCGCGTGCGATATGGCCCGCGCCCCCAGCAGCCTGCACACCAGCTGTGAGCCCCGCTGCTGCGCCATCGCCACGGGGCGCAGCACCCGCTCCAGCGCCGTCATACATACCTGGCGAGTGTGAACACGGCACACAGGTCGGCGGCCAGGCGGTCCGCGTGCGATATGGCCCGCGCCCCCAGCAGCCTGCACACCAGCTGCGAGCCCTGTGGCTGCGCCATCGCCACGGGGCGCAGCACCCGCTCCAATGCCGCGGGCAGCTCGCGTCTGCCGCCGTAGCCCCGCCCTATAGGGTTCATCGTTGCAGCTACTCCGCACCATTGCGACACTTTTATCTTTGAACAAAACAATCCTATCCTTATCCCAACCGTTAAATGCATTAATAAACTGATAGTTTGTGAATAGCACTATACTTGGCCTCGTTCCCTCACAAAGGGTTATCGCGCTAGCCGTCTAAGCCAGAGGCAGTAAAAGTGAGTTTATAGTCAGCCAAAATCTGATATAATTTGAGAGTCGGTTGAAAAGTGGACAACCACAGCAGAATTATTTTAGGCAGGCAATGGTTATTGTGTTTTAAAGATTTTTTTATTTGTTAACGGCTAAGCTCTTGATCCTCTATTCGGCCCGAGAGCAGAGTTAGGAATTACGGTGTAAAGAGCTTACTCAGGAGGCTATTCACTCTAGCTTTAAAGAGAAAGAAATATAATGTATGTATGTACTCGGAAAAACTAACTAATTTACAGAAGATACGAAACTAATCTTCATTTAAGAGAGCGCTACTACTTTATATTGTTTTAAACTTTCATGGTCACTAACATTATAGTAATATAAGTTATTTACGGGATTGTTACCATGTACCTTGTTTTTAGCGAGTTTCCGATATTTCGGCACTGTTGCAAGCGCCATGATCACGGAGTAACTGATGATCTAACGTGATCATGGTAACAATCCCCTAAATAACTTATATTACTATAGCGCTACTACTGACCTGTTTCTCGTTAAGGGTGGCCATGCGTTCAGAAGCGGCTGGTTTCATCGCGGGCAGTAAAGACTCCAGCTGGTGCGAGACGGCCGCTAGCGTGTCCGCAGACAGCCGGTTGAATTCGTCGAAGCATCCCCACGCACCGCACAAGGCTAGTCCACTTAGAAGCCGGCCCATACATTCCGCGTCCATTGCCTTTGTAACAGTCATATAAAAAGCTCACTAAGTAGACATAATGTTATTAATTATTTTTTACATTTTAATTTCTACTTTTGATTTATTTTTGAATAGTTTTGTTTTAGTTATATTATTTATTTTTTAAGCATTTAACTGCTAGGTAGATGTTTAAATGTAAAGAAAATTTTACTAGAAAAAAGTAGTAGTGTTCAGTAGTTTTTTTTAATCATAATTGAATTTAATATACATATCAACGATATTAAATCCCCCAGATACACCAACACGAACAAAATCATGCCCGAAACCTGTCCAAAAGGTACATTGGACGATCAACGGAGATCTGTAAGATGATCACGTAGTCATGTAACAATATAAGGCATTATTTAAACATTGAAAATCACCTTTAATGCACACTGTATAAGGTCTTAATTAAAACGTATGGGTCAAAGAGTTATGGCAGGAGGTGAAAGCTCGTAAAATTTTACGACTTATTGCTATATACGGAAGGGTATAGACCCTAATTCTTTAAATCTACGCGCAATTCTGAATGCGCTGTTAGCGCATTCTATAGTAGTAGATACCGACCGCGAAGAAAAAAGACGGCTATATTACCGATCTTGCATTTGAATATCACACATATTTTCTATAAAATCAGTTTATAGTGAGTATTAAAACAAAAGCTTGAAATGCCTTAAATTAACAAACATTGATTAGATACATGTCGAAAAAATGTAATTTTACATACTATAAGTATTTATTTCGCATTTTTTCACGGAGCTCAGCGGTATGTTGACTTTTCAACGGTGTGCGCGTGACTGTGAACCAAGAAGTGCTTGAGTCGTGTTCAAGCACTTCTTGATAGGGACACATTTTGAGCGCACGTGGTGTATCTAGGGTATTTAATATCGTTGATACATATATATAATCAGGATTGAATAAATGTAATTTAACTAGCTGACTCGGCGAACTTCGTACCGACCAAAAGTAATAATTTGCAATAAAATAATATTGCGAATAAAAATTGAAATGTAAGCTATCCTATCTTTCAAGTTGGATCAAACTGCATACGGTGAGCAAATTTGATTAAAATCGGTTAAGTAGTTTAGGGATCCATCCTGGACAAACAACGTGACGCGTAATTTATATATATTAAGATTGAATCTGAAGTAAAGATACATATCCTTACGGATAAGGTGTACTTATGGGCGGTTGTGGTGAATCATAAATACGCGACAGAACTACGTATACACAATGGATATTAGTATAATTGTAGGTGATGCTCCAAGGAGATAAAGTAGTGTATTATGTCACAGGCAACACATGTCAGCGAAATAAGGGATTATGTAGTTAATTCCTGGATGTAGTGAATAAACACTATATCTGGTGGGAGACGGCCGCGAGCGTGTCCGCAGACAACCGGTTAAAGTCGTCGAAGCATCGCACAAGGCTAGTCCACTTAGCAGCCAGCCAATACATTCCACGATCATTGCCTTTGTAACAGTCACATACAAAGCTTTACTATACACATATCCTTATGGCCAAGGGGCTGTACTCATGAGGGGTTGTGCTAAATCAAAATACATTATCTCATGATATGAGACAGAAATACTATTCACAATGTATACGAATACAATTAATACAGCTATTGCTTGTTTTTTAATCTCAGAGACAAAAATGACATTACCATTCTTGCCGGTTTATTGCAGTTCTTAAATAGTGATGTACACTAACGGAAATTAACGCTCATAAAATATTAAGTATCGTTTTTTTTTTAATAAGAGTTTTAGTAAGCAATATCGCAACCGGTTTCCTAGTTATGAGAAAGTCTATGAGCCGATAGTGATATAGATTTCAAAAAAAAAATAGAAGAAATTTAGACAGATTTGTTTTATACTTCTTAACTCACATTTTAGCTGCAAGTTTAGTTGAAATAATAACGAACCGCACACTTAATGCGGAAACTTAGCATTATTTACCGTACCTAATTACCCATGTTATATTAGTATGTATGGTTCCAAGTTAATTTAATTTGTACTTTTATTAAATAGTTCTAATAGCAAATTCAGTTATAAGGCTACGATAACATTGATTTTTTAATGTTAAAAAGATGGCAAACAAGCATATATTGCCCGCCAGATGGTAAGCGGCCACCATAGTCTAAAGATGCTTGCGATTCAAAAAATATCACTCGCTCCGTTGCCGACCCTGATCCAATTTCCAACCTCGTGGAGCCCTGAAACCCTACTCTCCGATAGAAACATAACATCCCGGCGAGCGGAGAATCCGCTTTGTCCTGCATCTCTTTTCTTTTCTTATATTTTTTTTTTGCCACCACTCACACCAATTAGCCTAGCCCCAAAGTAAGCACTGTAAGGCTTGTCATATGGGATACTAGGGTATCGGATAGAATACATATACAGTACAATTATATAAGTATATTTATATAGAAATACAAATTAAACATCCATGACTGGAGCACAAATGATCGTATTCATCACACAAACATCTGCCCCCACCGGGATTCGAACCCGAGATATCCCGAGTAGGCAACACCATGAAATCCGGCGTGCAAACCCCTCGGCCACGGAGGTCGTCAATTTGAATTATTGTTTCTGTAGGAAAAGTCTACTTTGTCTAAATATGTATAATTTTATACAATTACCTCATCACAATTGAATACTAGCACCAATCGTCCCACGAGTCCACCCAGAGCCTTCACAGACTCCGTTTTACCCGTACCAGCAGGACCAAATGGGTTCCCCACTAACCCAAGATGTAACGACTGAAAAATAGTAATATTTTATTTTATTAAGGGCATGTTTCACAATCGCTGAGTAAAGTTCTAAGTAAGCTAATCTGCTCAGTAAAGAAATAGGGATGTTGTATTTTTTTGGAAAAGCGTTTGAAAGGAAGGAAGTGTGCCTTGACAATGTCAAAGTCAACATGCCGATTTGTTTACAGTACCCTTACCACGAACCAATAACTAATAGGGTATTTGACATCTGTGTTTAGAATGAATATTGGCAGGGGTTTTATTATTTTTACATAAAAAATATTCATAATTTTACTTAAAACTAACGAAAAAGATAATAAATAGTTTTCTTATCTTTTGTCACGGGAGCCAAAACGCTTGTCATTGGCGGAGCCTAAAATGACGTCACACGTCAGCAAACTTCCGGTTGAAGTGACATTACATTGTATAGTTTGACATTTTAATAAGTCATGTGACGTCACACACTAGTAAGACGGCATAATATTGTTCAGAGAAACGTTTTCGCGGCAACTTGAAAATGGAGTTTTTGATTTGGTTATTTTTACTGAAATACACAACAGAATGATGAATATCCACTTTTAACGGACTCCATTAACATTAGTCAATAACGTGAGATCATTTTCTAAAATTTGTCAAATACCCTATTCGGCTAGTTTGCGAGTGCGAAATGTCAATTCAAATTTTGTATGGAAATGGAAAACATGAACAACAGGCCAAAAGAACAAGAACTAAAAATCAGTACACATTTGACAATGACATTTCGTACTCGCAAACTATTCGAATTTGATATTGGTTCGTGCTAGGGGTACAGAGCAGATAAGTTCTAAGTAGCTTATTGAAAACTTTACTCAGCGATTATCAAACAGGCCCTCAGTGTTAAAAAAGTATTAATTTAAAACGAGGCTTAAAGTAAAGATATTTCACTTCTAAATAAGGAAAATATTTAATGATTTATAAAAACAATAGTAATCTATAAATACAATTGGTGAGCTTAGGTTAGGTTAAGTTACCTATCGTATTTTTTCAGGATCAATTACCTTTTTTCATTATCTTTCAAATATGAGTCGGAAAATAACCACTCGGCCCAGGTGACAGCTTTCTATTTTTTTTAAAGATTTATGAACATAGCAGTTTATTATTTTAAAATAAAAACTTGATAGTCTAAAAGTATTATCTGGTTCAAACACAAAATCTTGACATAATTTCAAAAACCTTGTTCTTTATAAAGAAACTCTGACAAAATAAAAGATCGAATATCCTACCAATAAATCTTGATATTCATAAGGTGATCATACTGCATCTTACGCTAATAATCGTGGAACTTTTTTTTATATTAAAAGGATGGCAAACAGAGCCTATAGACGGTTGCGATACAAAAAATATCACTCGCGCCTACCAGGTAGTGCCCTGGAATCTAAGTGTCGCCGCACACGGGCCACACGCCACAGCCACAAACGCCGCCACAAGAAGCTAGAAGCGGCTACTAAAGTGGCTGAAGCGCCCGACAGCGGCCGACTAAGGCATGGGAGAGAGGGGGGAATCGCGCGAGTGACGTGAGGCGGCGTTTTGTATCGGCGCATTAAGTGGCCGGTGCGGACCACAAGAAGCGAGCAACGACGATTTGTACCGTGTGTGGCGAGTCCATATAAAATGTATGAAAACTACAAGAAATACGTTGGAGGCGGCGTTTTACTACACACACTAACTCCCAGACAGAAACAACACTACCATAAGGTAGTCCAATATTACTTCCCCAGAGGGGCGCTCCAATTCAAGCTGGAAATCCGCTGTATCCGATCCCTCTTAACAAATAATTAGGGCAAAAACTATAAAAATTTAAACAATACCTACCTGTGTTAATATTAAGAAACATTCGTCAGCTAATTCAGTTCGTACGAATTGTCCAGTGTTAACGCCTAGGTATTCATACGAATATGAAATTGTTGCTAAGCCCATTTTAGCGACGACTTCTTTATTGTTCAAGAAATAGAATCTGCAATGAAAATAAAAGTATTAATACTCGAACACATCAATTTTATAAGATTCAATGTCACACTTAATAATTTAGTGCAGAAAAATTATGAAATCTGTGTTTTAGGGTTCCGTACAGAAAGGATCACAACGAAACAATATTGAATATGATAAGTCAGTCTATTTAAAAAAAATATAATGATTGCATTCCATAATATCAATGAACACTAAGTGACATACTTAATCATAATGATGTTTACATTACAGCAGCCTACCTCAGCTGTTTTTGCCAGTGCCAATCACTCGTTGATACTACATTGTTATTTATTAGAGTTCTTATGACTGACAAATAATGGGCGCATTGTAATATGAGAGCTTGTCTTTTATAACGTTCACTTTCATCTTCTATTTCGGTTGAGCCGTAATAAGAAGTCTCCTTTTCGATGTTAGCTTTTAGTTTGTGAAGATCTTTCGATGTTATAGCTTTCTCGGCCTGTTCGGTGAATCGAATGTTCTGCACCAGGCAAAGTATTTGTGTCGGCAGTGTAAAGGGATCTTGGTCTTGTAGTGAAGTAGTCACGACACATTTTAAGGTCATACTCTGAAGAGATGTTCGCATCTCACTTTCTAGGTTCTTTAACCAAACCTACAAAATAAAATGTTTCATCAATCCTCCTAATACTTATTATAAATATGAAAGTTTGGGTGTTTGTATGTTTGTTACTCAATCACGCTAAAACGGCTTTACGGATTAAGATGAAAGGCACACATATAGTTTATTACTTCAATTGAATACGATGATTTTAATGCCGAACAAATGTTAAGTTCCTGAGGGTTTCTCAAAAAACTAAAGTAAACGAGGATGAAGTCCTGAGCGGCCTTTAGTTCGAAATCTAAATATTTAATGCCTGATTCAATTAAGACATACATAGGTTGAGAGGCTAATAAATATATTATTATTATTTTAATGAATCATCAATTTCAAAATACATGTACTTAAACGTTTATTTTGTCAAATTAAGGTAACTTTGTATTATCGTGGCTTTTGTTCTATGGTGATATTAGATAAAACATCTCTTAATTTATATGCGTTAGCAAGGAATTAAAATTTACCTCTACTGGACAGTCTATATCAACGGGATGGTCTAGCTGCAGTGAGTCGTTTCCCTGGCTACATAGCGCTGTAAGAGACAAGCCTTCGGGGCCCAGCTTCACCGAAGAGATGCCTGGGAACAACTTCTTGAGATGCGTTTGCATCACCGCTTCCCGACCATCCGCGCCAGACCTGGCTTGCCCCAGAAGTTCTAGCAAATCGTCGTCACTCAAAAAGTACAATCTAGGAAAGATAAGTCGCTTTTCCTGGAACACAAAATATTATAACCCGTTTATAAATTTTTCTTAATTATGTTGTAATGTTTTTATTGGTGAAGACCTGTAATTGACTTTTTGTTTTTATTAAAGTTTTTATTCTTTTTATTAATAGCTGTTGGTCTTCCAAAAAAAAATGTAAATTTGTTTAAAATATAATCATGGCATAGCGAATTCTTCGCTTGTAAAGTTAACCTTTACCTCAAAGAAGATTGTAGCTCACTCACAGTTTTGTGTAGTATTGTGATTCTGCAGTAAGGTTTTCAGAACTCCTCTAGAAAAAGGTAAAATGGAAATGTGCCTCTCTACTCTAGCCGCCCTTACTTTTCTTCACTACACTGAATGCCCCTACCCCGGTGGAGCCATGGAGTCATTCTCATCAACAGAAACACAACACAACAAAATAATACATTCTCTACGGGTCGCGCTTAGCGCCGCTTATGTCGCGCAGTCGGGTAAAAATGTGTTAGTTAACTGTCTTCTGCCGGGACTGGAAGAGACTCATCAATTCGATCCGAAAATTCGCTATACTTAACCTCTTTCCATCAATATATTATGAGCACAAAGCCTAATTTGCAGAATGTCTTTGAATGCAAACCATCTTAAACGCGAAATGACTGAAATCAGTATACCAAAACAGCAAAAAGTTTAAATGGACACAAACCCTAATTAGCAGAACGTCTATGAATGCAAGCAAGCTCATTAAAACGCAAAATGACTAAAAGCAGTATACCTAAACAGCAAAAAGTCTATAGTAATAAATTATAGTTGACAAGACAAGAGACAATTAAGATAAGCTTTTCGGAAATAAAATAATAGTTATAATTTTTATTTTTAAGCATGTAACTGCTTGATGTTTAAATCTAAAGAAAATATAACTAGAAAAAATTCTACGCGGACCAGGCAGCAGACGAGACTCGAACCCGCACCCTTCGCAATCCAGGCGAATGCACTGACCAATTATGCTACCACGGCCCTGATGGCCGCGTCGAAATTTTTCTAGCCATTCTTAAGCTGCAAGGCAGCGCCATCTCTTCGCATTATAGGTAACTCACAATGTCAAATGATTGATAAAACCCACAATTTTCTTTAGATTTAAACATCAAACAGTTATATTGTTAAAAATAAAAATTATAACTATTATTGCTATTTCTTATTTCAAATGTTTAATACTTGTAAAAGTACCTATTCATTTGACATTGTGGGTTACCTATAATGCGAAGAGATGGCGCAGCCTTGCAGCTTAAGAATGGATAGAAGAGTTTCAGCGCGGCCATCAGAGCCGTGTTAGCATAATTGGTCAGTGCATTCGCCCGGATTGCGAAGGGTGCGGGTTCCAGTCCCGTCTGCTGCCTGGTCCGAGTGGATTTATTTCTAGTTATATTTTCTTTAGATTTAAAATAATAAGTATATAAGTATCATACTAACTGTCCATACTAAAATAAAAATAAACTTATTATATAAACGTAACATGTTTCCTCATTATAGTGATTGAATGAACGTTTCTTAATCTTCAGAATAGAATTAAAATTTGTTGGGTCATAGACATTCTGCATTTAAGACTTTGATTTTAGGCGTTTTGCTTAATAGCTCTTATATAATTTAGGCATTTCACTTTTAGGTGATAAGTTTTTAGACGTCTTACTTCATAGACATTCTGTATTTTAGACATTGCTATTAGGCGTTTTGCTCCATAAACGTTCTGCAAATTAGGCTTTGTGATCATAATAGCTAGCAATTCCTGTTAGGTAACACTTATCTAAAGTTATTTGTTACGTCTATAATGTTATTTTCGTATGATTATTCTACACCTTAATTTCTTTTCTTTTCGTACAAGCAAAGTTTGCATAGACTTACATCAATGTATTGGTTCAACGCGGACTGGCAAACGTGTAGTTGCTCTGATATGGCGTCCAACATCGGCTGGAGTCTGGTTGACTGCAGGAGAGCCGACAGTCGCGGATCGCCTTCGATTACCCGCGTAACTTGTCGGAACCCTTGGTCCACCTTGCGGAACTTGGCTCCTATCTCCCCATCGTCGTTGCATAGAATCGGCTCTAAGTACAGCCACCTGGTGGATGTTTAGAGTCTACTGTGAATTACTTGTACCGTGTTTGATTAGAATTTTAGTAAAGAAATAATGAATAAACTAGGTAACTGAGGAGCTGGATTAAGAGGCAAGCGCACATTGAGCCACTAGTATGAAAAAACTCGACCGCAGCGTGTGGACGCGTTTAGTGGCTCAAAGTGCGCTTGCTCTTAAGCTCGCGTTCTGTCACTCAAGGTAAATAAGGGTATGTCTCTGTTGAGGCAAAACGTGATTAAAAGATTACCTATTTTTCGAATTATAAACTTTGTAATCAGGATGGAGTAACGCTGAGCAGATTTGTTATAAAATATGATGGACATCTGATAGAGGACAATGAGGCGATGTAACAGTTTTCTTTTTGAATCCAAAATCCACTACAATTAATATTTATCTGTTTTGTAATCTAGTAGAGAAATATACAAAACCACAGATATTTTCTCAACTACAATATGACGTATGATGTCTCAACGTCGGCGCCGCTCGCAACCATGCACTTTCCGCTCTGACTCACTACTCGATTTTGCTTCAGTGGCAAACACTCACCACTTATTACTGCTCAGTAGAAATGCAGCCCAATAAGAACTTTAACAAGACTTTTACTGATAAGTTAACGTACTTCGATCAATATACCTACATACTTATGGGAGAGAAATAATATTAACATACAAATACTTCATTACTCATACTGAGAATGTCATCCCTGCTGGAGCACTGACCAACTTATTGATGAAATAAGGATAATGAACCATTGCCCATCAACGATTGCACATGCTGGTGGGACTAACGGCTTAAAATGCTTTACGAAGCACAATCCTTTGTGCTTTATTATTTTTCCTCCTGGAAAAATAATAAGTTTTTGGTCATCCATCCTAAGAATTCCTTTTACAATAGCTGATTAACTTCACGATCGCATACCGAACGCGCTAATTATTGCGCCATCGTACTCTTCAATATTGCATTTACAATTAAATGATTCCATCATTGTTCCTTCCAACAACCATATACTTCAAAAAAGTTTTCATTATAAATCTGTATGTAAAATTTTGTTCAAGATATATGGCAAAGCTAAACTTTTAAGAATAGATGGGTTTTTTAAACTACCATGAAAACAACTTATTAGGTACCAATAAGAATAAGTAATATAGTTTAAGTAAGAAGGAACCCACTAGTAAAAAAAAGTTAGATATCCTAAGCACAAATCACAATTAGATTCTAAACTAGACGAGCTTTACGATCAGTTAAAAAGTTATTTATTATGTACTTACATGTAAATATTACTTTATTATGTATGTTTGTTCATTATTACGTAATTTAGTTCTGAAGCTTTAGCTAACGAAATTAAGGTTTATAGTACCTCCCCAAATGGATATAATATGTCTCCTAAGTATATGAAACATATACGGATACAGTATATCAAACTTTTTTCTGAAACCAAATAAACGAATGCGGTAAATAAAATGCGCAAATATTTCATTTAAAGATTTATTCACAATTTAAGTATCGGTGCATTGCAAATTATGACTAAAAACGTACCTAAAATTCTATAAAATTGTCATTGAGACTTACAAAAAATAGAAAAGCTTAGGATTAATTGTTCAACGTTAAGGATTCAGATAAATGCAAGTTTAATAAATATAAACATACAATACATATGGCACATACAGCTTATTATTACAAACAATAATTATTTATTACACATAAAAATAGGGTCATAATCATAACGTACAAACAGCATTAAATTAACAAACACTTTGCAATCGTCACGACATTATATTGACAAAGTATAGAAGCATTCATTTTATAAAACATAGAGGAATTCTTACATAAGATTTTAAACCTAGCTAACAGCAAATACACTCGTTAAGTTTATTTATTCCTATTAACTCAAATGATGAATCTGTTAACAGATATTTAAAATTAAATAATTATAATTCTACAGGAAAAGTCTTTGGAATAATCTTTTTGTTTAATCAACTAATTTCATGATTTTCCATGATTGATGATTTTGATGCAAACAGGAATTTAATTTTCAAAATGATGAAATAGAACACTTACATGTAAACACATGTCTATCTAGTTATGATTTTCATTAATATTTTTTTAAAGTATAGTATAAAAACATAATTGTAGCTGCGTCGTTTCTGGCGGTAACTATTAATTTTTACGGCAGTTTAATTAGACAGAAAAATTGTAAGTACATAAATCAATCTATGCAGGCATCGTTATCTTTGCAAACACCCAATAAGGATACGATCACAGATATTTTATTTCTTCTGTAAAAACGATACGGCATACTACATTTTATGAAAAGTGACTATTTGTAAGAATACTACAACAGTAGCGCTCACGCAGATGGTAAACATTCAGTTTAAATAACATTTACATCAGAAAAAGAGGTAACAAATATGAAATTATGTTGTACATGATCTATAGTAGTCCGAGCGTTTTGTTATTTCCGATAGATAATAATTCATTAAATTATTAAGTTCTCCGATATCCTTTTCGAGTGTGTTTAATTGTGCGTTGTGGTCATTGTATAGTTCCTCCATATTAGCAAGTTGCTTCAATTGCATTTGGGTTTCACTAGCGAGCTTCGTTGCTCGATTAAGCAAGAGCTGAGCGCGTTCTCTGGAATTAGACGTTTGACTAGCACGGTCAGCGAGGGACATATTTGTTTGTTTGAACTCCTGTCTTAACTGTCTAGCTTTTAATTCAGCGCCTTCAGCTTTATTGACAACATCGTTAGCTTCTTGTTTAACTTGTTCGGCGTCGCTTTCAATTTTTAAGATGTTTTTTTGTAAATCTGAAAGACGCAATCTTAATGCCTCTACTTCATCTTTTGTCTCGTTAGCTTTTTTCTGAGCTTGTTCCGTTTCCTGAGCTATGGGAACTAAATCACCTTTGGCTGCTTTTATGTCGCTGTTAGCTTTATTGATAGCATTTTCCGCTGCGTCTTGCGCAGCTTGTGCTTCATCCAACGCTTTCAAAACCTTGTTTGCCATTTCCAAAGTGAGATTAGCAGCATTATTTACAGCTGTAGCATTTAGTTTTAGAGCTTTCGCTCTTTCTAGATCCGGTTTGGTTTCGGTTATTATGTTTTCAATATTGGTCAGTTGTGATACCGTTGAATTAATTCTCTGGGAAAGTTCGGTAATTTCTTTTGGTTCAATTCTTATTGATAAGTTCAATATTTCGTTTGCCAAGGTTCTAACATCAGCAGGAGTATTAGACGTGTTCGACAAAAACTCTTTCAATTCAGCAGTTAATTCTATACTTTCATTTGTAATTCTCTCAGATGACAATTTAAAGTCATTGGCTCTATTGAACAAATCTTTTGCTTTGGTTCGTACGGAACCAGTGTCTTGTTTTACCTGAGAAATTGATCTAAACAAGTCTTCAGCCGTTAATTCATGTTCCTTAATTCTATGTTCAGTTTTGTTTGCAAAATCTAAGGCTTGTTCTGCTTTAGTAACCGCTCCTTGGTCACAAGATATTCCACCACATTTACCACAGCCAGCCCCACCACAAATGTCACAATTATCAATTTCCTGACCACACATTTTTTCGTTTAATTTTGGAAGCCGTGATTCTAAGTTAGACAGTTGCGTATGAATATCGTCCAGTTTTTTGTCGTTTTCGTTTTGAGTATTGTTGAAATGCATATATTGGAGTTCTATGAGACGATCCGTATTTTTTATTTGTCTATCAGTGTTAGCTATTATTGTTTGTACAGCTTCAGCTTCATCTGATGCCATAGTCGCTCTTTGTTTAGCTTCACGGGTTAAGTTCAAAGCTCCTTCTAAATTAGCTTCTTGTAGTTTAGTTGCATTATTACCCAAATCCATCGTTTTTATCTTAAGGTCATTAATACTTTGTCTAAGACCATCTAAAGTAACATTACCTAGATTTATTTTAGATGTGATCTCATTAAGATGGTCATTACTGTCTTTTACTTTATCTTCGGCTACAGCTAGTTGTTCTTGAAGTGTAGTTATATTAGCTAATAGATCTCTTACTGTTGATTGTCCTTTTTTAGCACTTAAAAGCATATTTTCTACATCAGATAATTTCTTTGTCATTTCATCAAAATCTCTTGTGTAGGCCCCTGTGGCACCAACAACTTTAATTTTACTAGCATTGGCAATAGCAAACTCAGTTTGAATCCGCAAATCATTTATAAGTCGATCCCAGTTATCAAAACATTCACCACAGGCATAGCAGTTGGGTGCTTCGCCAAGGTATCCCCTTGCACAAGTGTCACAGTTGTAGCCACCAATTCCTGGTCTACAAACACAAGAACCATTTTCGCGCATACACTGCTGTGATAGAGATCCATAAATATTACATTCACATTCATGGCACTCTACATTAGGATTACCCCAAAAGTGTTCCTGACATTGATCGCACTGCCTGCCGCCATGACCTGGTTTGCAATCACATTTTCCAATATATGGATTACACTGAGGAGATAATGATCCAATAGTATCACAATCACAAGGATCGCATCCTGTCCCTAAGGCTATCCTCCAATGATTTTCTGTGCATTGATCACAGTTCATTCCCATTACGTTATTAAAACAAGGACACTGACCAGTTATACCATCACAATTGCCTTTTGTAAAGTTGGTACCTAATACAGAGCAATTACATTTGTTGCAAGATTTTTCAATTGCATTTCCATAATAACCTTTTTGACAGACTTCGCAATGATCTCCAGCTGTATTATGTAAACACTTTAAGCATATGCCTGTATATGGGTCACAATTCCCCGGCTTAGTAATATCAATATTATCATTACATTCACATTTTTCACAAGTTCCCTTCACAGGGTCACCATAATAGTTATCAGCGCAGACATCACAAAGAAGCCCTGCGTATCCTTCCTTACAATCACAAACTACATCTTTTGTGTCTGGGTCTAATTCACACCGATCAGCGTGGTTACTTTTGTTGGGATCGCCTATGGTACCTGGACAAGGACA